TCACCACTTGTTATGTTCTACTTTCATTATACTGTTTTAAGGGCAAATCATGGGTTCGAATATGTAGAACATAAACGTTTTTATTCCTTAAACTTAAAGAATCACCACCGATACATAATATCGCATGGATATATAAAACATCAAAGAAGAAAGAAAAGAAAGAAAAGAATAGAAAGATGAACAGTTAGATATAGATAGATGTCATATCATAACACCTTTTCCAACTGTTTTTTCATCCGCAATTTTTCTTATACATAGAGCCTGACATTTTCCATTTTCAGAGTCTCACTTTGAGTCATCGCAGACAAACACATAAGGTACTCAAAGAATATTCAACTCTTGCAATATGCAAGAGTTGTTTTCAAGTTTAACAATGAGACCTACATTTATAAGAAAAAGATAAATAAAAAAAAAGAGGATAATCAAGTGATTAAAATTTGTTCAGAAGACAGACGTGGCAAACTATCATTAAGACAAACGACACTATCGTAATGTTTCTTCACAGGATCATACCATATATGCAATTGATCGTCCAGAGAACTGGAACCAGGAATTAACAGTGGTATTTGACCTATTTCATGAACAATTATATTTCTGTTGATGACAACTGCTGTAGCTGAAATTGCTAGATGCTCAGCATAAGTTCCTTCTTGTTGCATTCGTTCAATATACCTTTGTATTGTTGGATATCTACGTTTATTGATAAACGGTGCAAAGACGTTCATATTTAGTTTAATGTAATTTACTGCTTGAGATCGAATACTTGAATGCTCATTTTGGCTCATATGTAGTTGATGGGAAATTGCTCGAAAAAAACAGTTCCCATCTGGCTGTATAGTAATTTTTTTACAATGAATACGACGAAGCTGTTGATTTATAGTATGTGAACCTAATACTTCTTTTGGATGATTTCTTTGGATATTTTTATTCCAATGTTGAAGGAAACGCAACAGTTGTTCTTTTGAAACATTATCACTACCATCTGGCAAAATAGTATCATTGATCTTCGATGTATCCTCAGAACTGTTCTCTTTCGGTGAACTGCCTAGCGAAGAAGAGTCATCATTGGATTCAGTGTCTTCACGAGACGGTCCAGTAAGATCAATTACTTGTACATCTAAAGAAGTATATCAAAAATGCATCAAAGAATCGCAAATTGTGTCAAAACAGAAATGGTTTTCAACTCTGGGAAAAGTTCTAATGATCAAATAATCGAACCCTCTTGTTCTCATTCTTCGAAACATCGATCATCGTCATCGTCATCTTTTACTCTTATTCGATAGAAGGTAAAATGATGAAAAGTCAAACTCAAATTGACTCACATTATGAAGAATTGTTCAAGAAAAAAATATCTCTTTTACTCTTAAGATAGTGAAATAATTCGTTGATTCTACCACTTTAGCAGACGTTAAATCTCATTCGATATCTTTAGCTCAAACTTCCAATAGATGAAGCAGACTAAGAATACTTTTTCGAAAATTCAGTGCCAGTTTTCCTTTGACATCTTAATTATGTAAGTAATTTCGATTTTCTTCAACTCCAAATAGATCTTCTTGATCGATGTATAGACGATCCAAAAAAAAAATACTTTCGATTCCTTTTTAGAATATAATGACACAAATCGAACTTACCTGGTTGTTCGCATAGCGTGGAATATACTTCCTCGTGCAAGAAATGCCAAAACGCCATATTTGCATGATCTACATTAAATAATCAATCGTCTCGTTGATTATGTTAGTTGAAAAGATCTTCGCTTAATATTTCATAAAAATAGAAAAACTATTCTAATCAATTTCTTTCAGAGTTCTTGATCAAATTCACAAAATCCGATTCTGTAAATCTTATCAAGATTAAAATGCTTTCAAAAAAATACGGAATATGATTTTCTAAGAAACATATCGAATAGAAGTCTTACCAAATTTTTCCAATGGATCTCGATAAAGACAGAAATCAATGCGATTCATATATGCTATATTAAATAATAGTCCCATGATTAAACGAATAATTGAAGATACAATACCGATAAAACAATCTAAAAAAGAAAATGCAAGTTGTGTATTTTTTCACTTATAATGTTTGGGAAAGGAAATATCTTACTAGCAACTAAGATAAAATATTCAAGAATATTTCTGAAATTGTTTTTCAGGTTGTTTTTGAAATTGACTTTCCAGGGAGAATGACGACCAGGAGTGTTTGGAGTGAGTAAGCTCTCGTTATTGTTGGTGATTTGGGAAGATCTCTGATTATGAGTGTCGATCAATGTACTACTCCATCGTGCAGCAAGCGATTGTAGCGCATACATAATTAGTATGGGTAAGATGAATTCTAATACCCATTTAAAAGCATAAGAATGACGCCAAATTAGACGAGGTATGAGAGTTATAAAGATCAATAAATGGAAAGTGATGACAAAACCTCCGATTGTATATCGAATAAGGTACCCTGGATACTGAATAGCTCTGGAACGCGTTTTCTCTTTGTCTATTTTTGCTTCTATCTGTGCTATTATTGTTGGATCTTTGTCGCGATATTTTTTGATATGTTCTCTAAAATTTTTCATGCCAAAGAACAGTTGAATACCATAGATCAATGCTGTAATAATAGCGCTAAGAATAATTTCTGTATGAAATAATCTATCTTTAATCTCTGGAAAAGAACAAAAAATCATTTCAATGAAAAAATATATATCAACTGACTAATATTGAACATCTGTTCAAGACTATTTGTCATAAATGATATTGGACTCATCATTCTTGTTGTATAAAGAAAGCTGAATGTGCATGCTAAATGATATAGAATGATGAAATTCACCGTGTATGTAGATATAACCATAGAACTAAATAAAAAATCTCTATCCCATTGATAAATTTGATCGAGATATTTTTGAAGAGTTGATCGATCATCACTTGACTTAACATCTGATGATGGTGTTACCTGCTGCGGCTTTGGAAGATATTCTGTTTCTATCAAAAAAAAGCAAACTTGATTAGATTAAATTAGTTGAGAAAATGTGAATGCAAACCTTTGGTTTCTGTCTCTGGATATTTATGATATAAATCAAACAGAAGACGCGTGCCAAATTCTGCATTACTGTATGAAAGTAAAGCGACATGTGGTAAATTCGCAAATAATCCATAAACAATAAACCAAGTACTAAGTTGCTAAAAAAACACATTTTTTGACTAATAACATTTCAAAAAAAAATAATCTAAATATACAATGCGAAGTTGGACTTCATCTTGTGCTGAAAGATTCTCCGAATGAGGCAAAAAATCCAAGCAGAAACTTTCTCGATAGATTGTGTATGCTATTATGACAAGCACATAACAGAAAGTAAGAAGTTGAACAATAACATGTCGTAAACGTAAAGAAATCAGTACCGGATAGTATCGAAATCTAGAATAATAAATAATACATCTTGTAGAAAAAACGTGTAAATTAAGAAAGGATTAATAACCCAATTAGAGCGACAACAAACATTCGTTTGAAAAACATGATAAGCACACCGTCATCCGATGCTTCTCTTCTTGTAAGTAAAATTTCGTCGAACACTTTTAATATTTCAAAAGTGAGGATACCAAAAATTGCAGCTGTCTCATATCGATTAATTCTCTGGAATGGATCGATTAATGCGACAAATACTAAAATAGATTGGCAAATTATATTATTATAAAACTAGTTTCATGTGTATACCCAATAAAGATTTTTTTTGAATCGGTGGGTTTACTGTAGGAGACAGGGGTGTGTGATCAGATGGATAAGTGATGTCATTCGATGATTGAATTGTATCATTAGATAGATAAGCCGTGTCATCCAATGGTTGAGTCATGTCATCCGATGACTCAATTGTGTCATCGGGTAGGTGAACCGTATCACCCACCGGTGGAGCCATGTCATTTGGTGATTGAATTGTGTTGTTGGATAGGTCAGCCGTGTCACCCAGTGGCTGAATCGTGTCATCGGATGGGTGAGCTACTTCATCCAATGATCGAATCATGACCTTGGGTAGGTACGTCACGTCACCCAATGGTTGACGTGGCAACATGGGGATGCTTTCGGGCTCTTGAGGCTCCCTGTTACATGGTGGGTAGCGGTTTGAGTCTTTCCGTTGGTTGGCTCTAGCAGAACCGTTTTTCTTCAACTGAGAATTGTTGGTTCCACAGATAGATGAAGAATCGACTTCCATTGGTTTCTGTCTGATTCGTATTGCCAATAGAAGGAAAATAATGGTAAGAATAAGTGAAACGCCCAAGAAAATACGATCGGTCAATGCAAAAAAAGATTTACGTTCACATTTTTTTAACACCGATAATGTCTCATTAATTAATGATTGGGATTTTAATGAATCAACATCAAGAAATGGAAATGAATGAACTTGAACAATGATCGGGATCACAAGTAGAGAACAGAAAAAGATAAGAAACAAGACACCAAGCCAAATGGAACGAATGACACTTTTGTTTTTGAATTTTCTACAAAAAAATCGCATTCGTCGAACAAGTAAAATCGACTTCTCAAAATCAGTCATTAACATGCAATCGACTCATTTCTACGCGTTTCCTGCGGTTATATCAGAAACGACGAGTTACTCTAAGCTTTGGTTGCACTGGCAGACCATTCACTTTTTGGGTAATTTCAATTTACACTTAATGTATAAATTCATATTGAATAAAATGTAATACGAAGTCATCTATCTCATCAAAAAGATAGGCTCAATCGATATTATATTAGTCCCTCTGAGTAAAACAAAATCTTCCGAAAGATTAGAAGGAAAGAAGGTATAAACCTTTTGTTCATTCTGCAAGTTTTCAAGAACTCTACGTTGATTCAAGACTTATTTCAACTTACTCTTTCCATGTTTTCGGATGCTTCGGAAGGTTCGAAGTACTATTTTGTTTGCCATTTGATGTGGTATCTGTACTCTTACAGCATCTGAATAAAGCTGGACAGTCGGTACTTTACAAAGAAGATAAAAACTCACTCTCTGATCCATTTAATTATAGATTGTAGACCGCTACAAACTTTCCCGATTAATAAGAGTGACCAAAGAATAATGATAATAATCACAGCTATTATCATTTGTAGCATCTGATGTGCAACTACAAATCGACAGAAAAATCAATTTTATGACATGAAAAGCTAATAATTGATCTCACATTTTTCGCAAAGAGCGCCACTGAAGAAAAATGAGCATGAACATTTGAAACTTTCGAGACTATTCACACATCGACCATGTCTACCGCACATGATATTACCAAAACAGAAGTCGAGTACTAAATTTTAATAATAAATAGGATAATTCTCTGCCATTTCATTGTACAACAGAGAATACGAACCATATTCACATACATGTTCATAAGTTGAATTGAGATCAATATCGCTTAATGAACAAACCAATTTACCCCAGATCTTGTAAGTAGTAAATGTAAAGATATGTGAATTATTGTTTAATACATTCCATGCAAATTGATCACAAAGACTGCGAATATTTTTGAATCGTTCAAAGGCATCATTATCCTCATCAGATGAATAAATATGATTGTTCTCATCTCCATTAGTAGCATTCGAAGATTTCGCCTTTAATTTGAATTCGAATCGAACTTGATACAATTTATCTTCGATTATTTGCCATTCGGCACGATCAGTCGCCGAGACCATATCCATAAACATTTTGCCTATAGTTATATAATATTGAAAGAAGTCAAAGAAAAGTAAAGTAATCTATTCTGATGGCTGGCAAAGATCTGAAAAATGTTCATTTTACCTAAAATCTTCTGATAAACAAAAGGACTTTACTATCTTACAAAACAGACAGTCTTCTCAGATGTTACTTCTCGATAAGACACTACACTTTTCTCTATCATATGGGCATTTTCCGTATTCGTACCGACACTTTTTAGAAAATTTATCTACTTGTAATAGGATCTTTCTATAACCTTAAGGACTTTTCCTTTTAAGATAGATGATCATTATTTTTACCAAGAGGACTTTTCTATTTTCTATACGATTTTTCATTATTTCTAGCGGGATTTTGTGGAACTTTATCTACTTGTATTGAGACTTTTGCATTACTATAAGGATTTTTTCTTTTAAGATAAACGATCATTATTGTGGCCAAGCGGACTCTTCGATTCTCTATGGGTTCTTTCATTATTTCCAGTGGCACTTTACGTTAACTTTTCTTTGACAAAACGAAATAGTCCGCTGAATGAAAAATAATCTAGGCGTTGAACATATACATTTCACTTTGTTAGCTGATGCAGACATATTATGAATGACGTGAGAATAGTTTATAACACCCCTGGCGTTGCCACATTCTAAAGATGATGATAAGTGTATAGTACCCCTGTCTTGTCTTGCGTTCTGTTCGTATCGAGAAAGAAAAATAAAGTATATTACAAGAAAATTATCATCTTATGTCAAAGGGATGTTGTTTTCTGAAGAGAGACTGACTAAGGCGCGAAATCGAATTTATTGTTTTTTTAGTGTCGAACACTAGAAACGACAGAAGAAGCTTTTCTATAAAATTATGACCGTGAGGATTCCTATCTGCTTTATCGCTATTTGACTATGTCTTTGAAATATACATATTTACAGATAAAGTACTCAATCAAAAAGATAAATTCCACGATAGAATAAAAATATCTTTTGAACGAAGAATAATCAGCTGTCGAATATATCGGGTGTCCCAGAATAAATTACCCTCTTTGTATTTTGAATACATCTCCTCTATTTTTCGTTCAATTAAAACACTTTTTTTTTATCAAAAGATGGCACATTAAATTCTGCGCAAAATGGGAAATTTTATTTAGCGTATAAAATTTCCTCCGTTCTTTTTTATTAAACGTAATCGACCGTGAAATCAAGTACAGAATTTAAATTTTTTTTCTTTTTCAATTTGTTTTACGGATTGTTTTATTTGTTCTATCAATGTTGCTTTTGTTCTTACGCGGTTCCAATCCATAACGTGACCTAATTCATTCCATAAGCTGTAGTCAAATGGACATAAATCAGGTGAATTTGATGGCCAACAGATCTTGGGAATAAATTCAGGAAAATGATCAGCACACCATTTTTGGCTAAGACGATGTGTGTGAGGTGTTGCACCATCTTGCTCATAAGTCCAATTATTTCCTAACATTTTTTTGCCGGATTTTAAAGCTATTGGAAGAACTTCCTTGATGTATTTTTGAGCATCCATCGTCCCATCTTCGAAAATTACCGGCACTGTCAAGCCTTCTGCACATGCACCTAACCAGACCATGACTTTTACCGGAAACTTTGTTTTTTCATGTGCAGCACCTTTTTGTCTGCCTCTTCCAGACTCACAGCCCATACTCGGTCGTTCTGAGCATTGTATATTCCATCTAAATCAAAAATTTTCTCATCAGTAAAGAGCCACTTTGTAATGTCATCTTTCATGTAATTGTTGAGCACCCAATTTGCGAACTTGACCCTCTTCATTTTTTGAATATCAGTTAATCTTGGTTGTTTGATTTTCTTGTGCGGGAAACAGCCAAGATCTTCACGTAAGATTCGGTGAACGCTGCTTTTTGAAATATCCATTTCAACAGCTAATTTTCTTGTTGGCACCTGTTTCTTCTGATTTAGGCGCCATTTTGCCTTCAAAATGTTAGCCTTCGTACGAGCTATGCGCGGACGACCAGGAGGTGATGATCAATTGATAGAGCTAGTGTTGTTGATCATTTTTATCCATAATTTAATTGTTTTTAACGGAACTACTCCAGCTAAATCCCGACAGATTTTCATCGGCCCATCACCATTTTCATATTTAGTTTTTACAACTTTTTGTATATCTTTACTTTTCATCTTTTTCGAAATATATGTGAAACACTTTTTGATTCCAACCACATATGGTTTTGTAGAGAATTTTAAGAGCCATCTTTTAGTAAGAAAAGATGTCCCGGTCTTATGAACCATAGAAGAGAAACATTTAAAATATAGAGAGAATAATTTATTCTGGGACACCCGATATATCCTTCACTTTTTTCGTTATTGTGATTGCAGTATAACACTTCCATTATGTTCGAAATTACCGGGTTATTTTTGCCAATTTTCTGTAGTTTACGGCATTAGTGATAACGTTGAATGACCTTCTCTTTCAAGCTATAGGATGCAACATTGTGCACTCAATCCAAAACTTTGGTTCTCGTTGTGTTTTATGAATAATTTCGAAAAACTTAGTTGTACGAAACCTAATTAAAAGAAATCTTCATTCACACTTGTCTTACTGAGATGTTTTTTACATTATAGCAAAAATGGTTTCAAACGGAAAAGATCCATGACAATTAAAGTTTCGGAAACCAATAAATGAAACTATTTTGAGTTCGAAAGACAATGTAATGTTTTTTTGAAAGTGTAAAGCAGTTGACATTTGTCATAAACCTAATTGCCATTAACGACAAAACAAGTTTTGAATAATATTCATATAATCCAAAACTTCCTTATAAGATTGCAAGGAAAATGTAATAATATGATATGCATTGATAGAGAAAACAANTAGAAACGACAGAAGAAGCTTTTCTATAAAATTATGACCGTGAGGATTCCTATCTGCTTTATCGCTATTTGACTATGTCTTTGAAATATACATATTTACAGATAAAGTACTCAATCAAAAAGATAAATTCCACGATAGAATAAAAATATCTTTTGAACGAAGAATAATCAGCTGTCGAATATATCGGGTGTCCCAGAATATATTACCCTCTTTGTATTTTGAATATATCTCCTCTATTTTTCATTCAATTAAAACACTTTTTTTTATCAAAAAATAGCACATTAAATTCTGCACAAAATGGGAAATTTTATTTAGCGTATAAAATTTCCTCCGTTCTTTTTTACTAAACTTAATCGAACCGTGAAATCAAGTACAGAATTTAAAATTTTTTTCTTTTTCAATTTGTTTTCCGGATTGTTTTATTTGTTCTATCAATGTTGCTTTTGTTGTTACGCAGTTCCAATCTATAACGTGACCTAATTTATTCCATAAGCTGTAGTCAAATGGACATAAATCAGGTGAATTTGATGGCCAACGGATCTTGGGAATGAATTCAGAAAAATAATCAGCACACCATTTTTGGCTAAGACGATGTGTGTGATGTGTTGCACCATCTTGCTGATAAGTCCAATTATTTCCTAACATTTTTTTGCCGGATTTTAAAGCTATTGGAAGAACTTCCTTGATGTATTTTTGAGCATCCATCGTCCCATCTTCGAAAATTACCGGCACTGTCAAACCTTCTGCACATGCACCTAACCAGACCATGACTTTTACCGGAAACTTTGTTTTTTCATGTGTAGCACCTTTTTTGTCTGCCTCTTCCCGACTCACAGCCCATACTCGGTCGTTCTGAGCATTGTATATTCCATCTAAATCAAAAAATTTCTCGTCACCCAAGAGCCACTTTGTAATGACATCTTTCGTGTAATTGTTGAGCACCCAATTTGCGAACTTGACCCTCTTCATTTTTTGAATATCAGTTAACCTTGGTTGTTTGATTTTCTTGTACGGGAAACAGCCAAGATCTTCACGTATTATTCGGTGAACGCTGCTTTTTGAAATATCCATTTCAACAGCTAATTTTCTTGTTGACACCTGTTTCTTCTGATTTAGGCGCCATTTTGCCTTCAAGATGTTAGCCTTCGTACGAGCTATGCGCGGACGACCAGGAGGTGATGATAAATTGATAGAGCTAGTGTTGTTGATCATTTTATCCATAATTTAATTGCTTTTAACGAAACCACTCCAGCTAAATCCCGATAGATTTTCATCGGCCCATCACCATTTTCATATTTAGTTTTTACAACTTTTTGTATATCTTTACTTTTCATCTTTTTCGAAATATATGTGAAATACTTTTTGATTCCAACCACATATGGTTTTGTAGAGAATTTTAAGCGCCATCTTTTAGTAAGAAAAGATGTCCCGGTCTTATGGACCATAGAATAGAAACATTTAAAATATAGAGAAGGTAATTTATTCTGGGACACCCGATATATCCTTCACTTTTTTCGTTATTGTGATTGCAGTATAACACTTCTATTATGTTCGAAATTACCGGGTTGTTTTTGCCAATTTTCTATAGTTTACGGCATTAGTGATAACGTTGAATGACCTTCTCTTTCATGCTACCGGATGCAACATTGTGCACTCAATCCAAAACTTTGGTTCTCGTTGTGTTTTATGAATAATTTCGAAAAACTTAGTTTTACGAAACCTAATTAAAAGAAATTTTCATTCACAGTTGTCTTACTGAGATGTTTTTTACATTATAGCAAAAATGGTTTCGAACGAAAAAGATCCATCACAGTTAAAGTTTCGGAAACCAATAAATGAAACTATTTTGAGTTCGAAAGACAATGTAATGTTTTTTTGAAAGTGTAAAGCAGTTGACATTTGGCATAAACCTAATTGCCATTAACGACAAAACAAGTTTTGAATAATATTCATATAATCCAAAACTTCCTTATAAGATTGCAAGGAAAATGTAATAATATGATATGCATTGATAGAGAAAACAATACTGTTTAGTGAAAAAGAGATTTCGAAAAACGCACGATTTTGATCAAAGATGCAGCTTTAGATAGATTTGAAAATTTTTGCTGTTAATTCTCATAAACATGCAAAAAGCTATTTGATAAAGAATTTTCCTACTTTACATACGTTTTGATATTTATGTGACTGATATTTCCTTCTTTCGAAAAACTAATCGATCAAATAGTTTGTCAAACTAAAACCAAACATTTGTCTCGAAAAACTTTTGATCACCTATCAATTCTACTGTTTGTAATCAATCTTGTTGGTAAAAACTGAATACATTTTTCTATTGAAAACAGCATTTTTAGCCGATTACAATTACAAACTTCCATTTTCTGATCAAAATCTAATTTTTGAGTATTCATTTTCTTTTCATAATTCTCTATGATGCAATTGTTAACATCTTAGAAGAGTGAAAAAGCATACCAATAACTAAAACCTTTCTTCTACAAAAATTTCATGGGAATTATTTACTAAAGTTGCTATAAATACATTAGAAATGTTCTTTCATATGTAAATCAATCAAACAGAGAAAAAAATCTTGAACAGAACATAAAAATCCTCTGAAGAAAGAAAACTTCCTGCCTCAATTATATACACTTGTCTTTTTCAGCTGATATACTTGTTTCTGAACTGTTCTTTCACATATATAAATCATTCAAGCTGAGGAAAGAAAAGTCCGCTTCATCTACTTCTATATTTTGCTTCTCTGACTATTGATATGTTCGATATTTGATCATATATGTAAAGTCACGCGTCGTATGCCTTCAGGTTTCATCGGTTCGTATATATATATAAAGACATTACTCAACTGAAGACAAAAACATTTCCAAAAACTAGAAAAATCCACTTGTCCATCATGTATACATATATACTATTTTTGTCTAATTGCTTTAAACTGATTCAAACTTTTGTTATAGTCATTTCAATAAATTAGTGCATGTGAAAAGAAAAATCCTTAACAGAACAGAAAAATCCACTGAACAAAGAAATTTTCAATTTATTTAAGCTTTTCTTATATTCCTATCAATAAACCAGTGCATGTGAGAAAAAAGAAAAATCCTAAATAGGACAGAAAAATCCGATGAAATAAAGAAATATTTCCACACTGAAGCATCTATATTTTGCTTGTCCTGTCACTATTTATATACGTGATATTTGTCAGGATATGTAAAGTCCCATATATTCTTAGCGGACCTTAGTTAAAATGGGCATTTTTTCGATCTTTGACATTGCTGTCTGTTCTTACTTTTGAATAGTTGTGGATCAGTTTCAACTAATAATGTAGTCAGATTATTTGTGAAGAATAAATGAGCAGCATACGAAAGCTCAACAGAATGTCGAATACGCATCAAGTGTGTATTATTCACATGGAGAAGACTACATGTTGTATTGGCTTCATCAGGTCTTGATTGCATAATCGAAGGATAATAACATGAACCACCAAATTGTTTCCATCCTTTCAGACATCGAAATCGGCTGACTACAATACATTTTTTAGTGAGCAAAGAGAAATATCTTTCATAATCCATTGAGTTTTATTTATGCAATATCTCAGCTTCAGAGCGTGAAATCCAGATGAAACTTATCGAGGACAATATTGGACCCAAATGATGTCTTTTTCAAAAATTTTTCCAAACGAAAACTGTAAAAAAAAAATCATTTTTTGAATCAAACTATCCCTTCAATCTTTTCTTTTTTTTGTGATATCTTGTTTTTCAGAATTTAATCGTAATCTACATCGAATTTTACCAACACATCTCATATGTTTGGAAGTTAAAACGCTTTAGATTTTTCCAGAATATTGAAATTTCACAAAAACCTATAACGCTCTAACATCTAAATAGATGCATATTTTTCGATGAAATCTGAACTCTGTGGTGAAGTGTAATGCAGATTACAGTTAAATTCTAAAAAATAAGATACTACAAAGGTAAAAGCAAATTGAAGGGGGAGGGTGATTCAAAAAATTACTTTTTTCGCAAACTTTATTCATCGGTTTAGTTAAGAGAGTATTTGCCAGAAATGTTATGGTTATTTTCGTGACAATCTTTGGTGTTTATCTCTGCTGGCATAGACATTCTGCAGAACAATATCACTTACTGATGTCTTGACCTCGATTGATCAAGGACGAAAGCTTTTTCGCTTGTGGGAATAAATTAGCAGAATCTAAATTCGGATATTTGATCACCGGAGCGCTCTGATATTGGTTGACGACTAGATAAATAATGAAAAGAAAGATAAATAAAAAGAGATAAGGGAAAGTTGGTAGAGCCATTTAATTGAATAGTAATAGCTTGATTTTAATATAAATGTATCACTTATCTAAAAAGAAATTAACAGATTAATTTAAAATCAAATCATTTGAATATCAATTTAACGACGAGAATTTTTATTTAAGACGGACGAAGAGGGTTAATTTACATTCCGAGAAGAGATTCTTCTATAAGAACGATTAATTTATGTGGGAATAAACACAGAATTATTTTTACCATACGCTCGTTGCAAAAAAAAAATTCTCTTTAAATGACTAGACAATATGACGAACGATAAAATATTGTCATTTCGAAAACACAATAGTAGTACGTTAGAAAAAGAAAAAAGAAAGTTACCGTTGTCTCGAAACCGCGTGTAATATATTTGCTTTTCGTTAGTCTTCTCCTATTTCTTTTTTCTTTCTGCTTTTTATTAGTACTGCTTGATCGAGGAAAGAAAAAAACACCATATTACATATCTCTTCCTTTTGCACAAGCCAGTGCCGTAGCCATTTTTTTTTCTTTCATTCTCCGCTGTATTTCGTACAGGGTGTGGATGTGGGTCTAAATGAAGAGAAGATCCATACCCACCCAGAGCCCACACCACACACTCACACGTACACCCACACCCACACCCACACCCACACCCACACTCACATCCACACCCATATAATGAACAACTCTAAAGATTCCAAAGACTGTCTGCCAAGGGGGAAACAGCGAACTTTGGATTTGAATTAACTTTAGATACTTGAAGCTACTTTGCGCTACTGCAAGTTGCTTTAAACTGCCTCAAGTAGTTTAATTTTAGCTACTTTTCAACTTCTATAACTACTTCAAGTTATTTGAAGTTATTTTATGTTACTTGTTCTTACTTTGGGCTACTTTTAGCTACTTCAAGTACGGTACTTTGACATACTTTGAGCTACTTCAAGTCCGCTGCTTCTCCCTTGCTGCCTGCTCCCAACACCGCAAAAAGAAGGGGCCTATAGCTATTACGATGATGAATAATTTTGAAGGTCCCAAGCCCCCATTTGTTTTTGAAACGAGTCTTTTTTTTTCAAAATTCAGATTCAAATTAAACACTGCAATGTATGATCTTTTCAAGAGAAGTAATGGCTTTATTTTTAGAAACGTGAAGAGAGTGTGAGTGTAGATGCATGCGCCAGTGTCAGTGTTTGTTTATTTCAAAAGAAGGACTCAACACACCTGTATATTCACACCCACACCCATCCTTTATTTTTACTTGACAGTGAAGGTGGCAANATTTTTTCTGTTAATTCTCATAAACATGCAAAAAGCTATTTGATAAAGAATTTTCCTACTTTACATACGTTTTGATATTTATGTGACTCATATTTCCTTCTTTCGAAAAACTAATCGATCAAATAGTTTGTCAAACTAAAACCA